AATATCATACTCAATGGGCAAAAACTAAAACCATTTCCCCTAAGAACAGGAACAAGACAGGGGTGTCCACTTTCACCACTCTTATTCAACATAGTACTAGAAGTCCTAACCACAGCCATCAGACAAGAATAAGAAATAAAAGGCATNAAGTCCTAACCACAGCGATCAGACAAGAAGAAACATAAAAGGATCCAAATTGGAAAGGAGGAAACAAAACTTTCATTATTTGCAGATGACATGATATTGTTCATAGGAAATCGTAAAGACTCCTCCAAAAAACTACTAGATCCATTTAATAAATGAATTCGGCAAGGTAGCAGGATACAAAATTAACACCCAGGAATCGATGGCATTTTTATACACCAATAATGTACTCTCAGAAAGAGAAAGTTAAAAAAAAATCCCATTTACAATTGCAACAAAAAAATGTAGATACTTAGGAATAAACTTAACCAAGAAGGTAAAAGACCTGTACTCGGAAAACTATAGGACATTGAAAAAAGAGATAAGGGAAGATATAAACGTGGAAGAATATACCGTGTTCATGGATTGGAAGAATTAACATCATTAAAATGTCCATACTGCCCAAAGCAATCTACAAATTCAATGCAATCCCTGTTAAAATACCAATAGCATATTTCACAGATCTAGAACAAACACTTTGAAAATTTATATGGAACCAAAAAACACCCCAAATAACCATGGCAATCTTGAGAAAGAAGAACAAAGTTGGAGGGATCACAATACCAGTTATCAAGTTATAAAACAAAGCCACTGGAATCAAAACAGCCTGGTACTGGCACAAGAACAGACATAGATCAGTGGAACAGAACAGAGAACCCAGAAATCAACCCAAGCCATTACCTCAATATTTGACAAAGGAGGCAAGAACATACAATGGAATAAAGAAAATCTCTTCAATAAATGGAGTTGGGAAATTTGGACAGGTACATGCAAAAAAGTGAAACTAGATCACTATCTTATACCATATACAAAAATAAACTCAAAATGGATAAAAGACTTAAATGTAAGATGTGAAACCATAAAAATCCTAGGAGAAAACGTAGGCAGCAAAATCTCAGACCTCTCGTAGCAATGTTTGCTGATACATCTCCTAGGGCAAGAGAAATGAAGGAAAAAATAAACAAACGGGACTGCATCAAAATAAAAAGCTCCTGCACAGCAAAAAAACCCATCAACGAAACGAAAAGGGAGCCCATAGAATGGGAGAACATATTTGCCAACGACACATCTGATAAACGATTAATATCCAAAATATGTAAGGAACTCATACAACTTAACAAAAGGAAGACAAACAATCCAATTAAAAAACAGGCCAAGGACCTAAGTAGACACTTCTCCAAAGTGGACATACAGATGGCCAAGAGAGATGAAAAAATGCTCAGTCACTAATCATCAGGGAGATGCAAAATAAAACCACAATGAGGTATCACTTCACACCTGTCAGAAGGGCACCATCAACAAATCATCAAATGGCAGGTGCTGGCGAGGGTGTGGAGAAAGGGGCACCCTAGTGCACTGCTGGTGGGAATGCAGACTGGGGCAGCCACTGTGGAAAGCAGTATGGAGTTTCCTCAAAAAATTAAATATGGACTTGCCATTTGACCCAGTGATCCCACTTCTAGGAATACATCCTAAGAAACCTAAACACTAATCAGAAAGAATATATGCACCCCTGTGTTCATAGCAGCGCAGTTTACACTAGCTAAGATCTGGAAACAGCCCAAGTGCCCATCAGTAGATGAGTGGATAAAAAAGCTGTGGCACATTCACACCATGGAGTACTCCGCGGCTGCAAGAAGAAGGAGCTCTTACCCTTTGGGACGGCATGGATGGAAATGGAGAGTATTATGCTGAGTGAAATAAGCTAGGCAGAGAAAGACAGGTATCACATTATCTGACTTATAGGTGAATCTAATGAACAAAATAAACTGATGAACAAAATAGATCCAGAGACATGGAAGCATGGAAAAGGCTGGCAAAATCTCAGAGGGAAGGGAAGAGATTAGCCAAAGAACTTACATGTGTATATGCATAACCCATGGACACAGACAATAGTGCAGTGAAGGCCTGGGCGGCGGTGGGGGTGGAGGCAGAGCAGAGGGGTGAATGGGGGGAAAAGGGGAGATCTGTAATACTTTCTACAACAAAGATTTTTTAAAAAGCCCCTTATCTCGTTTTGCTGTGCCTGTCAGGAAACAACCTGGCTGCTCCTCCATCTCCTCGCCAGGCAGGCAGTCTCTGTCTCAGGGATTTAGCCCAGGGTCCCTCAACCAAGTGTGAACCAGCCCTCCCGGGGGTGCCTGGAAACCCACAGGGACAGTTCTGGCTGTCACGATGACTGGGAGGGGTGCTACTGGCATTTCGGCAGGAAAAGCCAAGTAGTACTCTATGTCTTGCAATGCTCAGGACAGTCCTTACAAAAGGAGGAATTGTCCTGACCAAAATGCCCTTTGTCCCCAGGCAAAAAATAAAGGCTCATTAGTCATTTCCAGTTGAGGCATGCGGGTTATGCCCCAGTTTCTGAGAGTCACTCAAGGACCTTCAGTCCAAAGGCCTTGGCCAGCCACACTCAGACAGCCAAGAGGTGAGCATAAGAGGCCCCTTCTCCGCAGTCTAGATTCCATGGCTTACCCATTCCCCTAAATACCATATCCCCTCCCTGCCATAGCAACCATGATAAACAAGACTTATTTTCAATCTGCCAAAGCAAAAGCTGGGAAGCTGTGTGGGGAACCCACATACATACCATTGAAGGAGGCCTCCAGAATGCCCTGTCAGGATGCCAAAGGCCTGCTCAGCCCTCTGCATGGTTGAGCTTGCCACCTGCCCATGGCTGATGCTGGAGGTTCTCCCAGACAACGGCTGTTATTAGTACCATGGGCGAGCATCTGGTGAGCACAGGGAGGTGGCCGACTTCTTGCACTCACTCTACAATCCCTCTTCCTTAAAGTTGCATGATCTCTTTACTCACACAATAAAACAGGGCACAGAGACCACATGTTAGATTCAAAGATGCCTCACAACATCTAGTTGGTGGAATGTCAGAGTCTAGGCCCAATTCTGTTACTATCTAGGTCTCACTGTATCATGCTGGACACCTCAGTTGACCTTTCTGGGACTCAGCTTCATATCCACAAAAAGGGGTTTGTATGGCTCTCTGATCTGCAAGAACGTTCCAGCTCTACATTCCACGACCGGGGGACAGGACATGGTTTTTATTAGCCTGTTTTGCTCTGGACACTAGCACCTCATGTTTTCTAGACAGGATGTGGCCTCAGCAATCTGGGGAATTTGGCGTTGGCATCATGGATTCTCAACAGCCAAGGCGTTACCCTTCTAACCTCAAAGACAGAAAGCAGCAGGCAGGCCTAGCACTGTTTGTACTTAAGTTTATATTCAGCAGCTCGCCAAGACCAAAAATATACATCATACAATGTTTACGTCAGGCTCTAACCACAGTGCCCATGCAGTGCCCAGTCTGCATTTAAGTGCACTGCACCAATTTTACAGGGAAAATGTGCGGCGAGGAGAATGCTGAACAAGATTAAAATGAGTTGTTTTAAATATCATCCCTCTCTATTTTTAATATTATTCTAAGTGTAGTCCTGTAAGGGAAAGGTGAGAGCTTCCTGCTTGCCCACCGAAAGCAGTGGCCATCATAGCTATCATTATAATTTAATTGTTGGACAACAGATATCCAAAATTAATCTCAGCTCCCCCACTGAAAAGCACTACCCTCGAATAAGCTTCAGTGCCCCCAGCAAACCCTGCAGCAAAACCCCCACTTTACAGATGGAACTCGCTTTGCCCATGAGCTTCATAAAAACTCTGCCTTGGTCTCCGTAACTGGTAAGGGAGAAGCTTCTGCAAATATTTCTGAACGCAAGATTCTTTCCAACATGACCAAAGGAGTTCCAAGTCTAAGTGACTGCAACACTCCTCACCCCACTCTCTTTCCTAACTGTCTCTTTAGAAGCTGCCAGGGCCTAATAAACTAATAATCACTGGCTGATTACACAGCAGACCGCAGAGATTCGCCTTCTCCCTGGAGAAGTGAACACAAAGTGAGGAACCAAGAGATGCTTGGATAAAGCCACGGGCCTCCTCCCTATGCAGCCGGCCAAGGATTTCTAAACTTAACTGATTTCTTAGCCAATCATAAACTGAGGAGAGATCTTAAGTTTTACCCATTTTTCCTTATGCACTGTAATTCTACACTCTCGCCCAGGATACCAGCCAGGAAAGGAGTGTTGAAAAGCCCCAAGGGAGCTTGGGGCACCCTTCAGAGCTCGTGCCCTCCTCTGGTTAGGGATCCTGCCCACAGAGGTCTCTGGTGCGGAGACTTCTAAGTCTCAGGGCCCAACGAAACCGACCTCGAACTTCCCAGTCCGCGCACAAAGCAGTTTAAGCCAGGGGCGCACGCCGTGGCTGCAGAGGTCTCAGCAGGCCTGGAAGACGGCGCTGCAGGGGAACCTCGGGGGGAGGCCTACGTTTTGGGGAAAACAAAGGCGGAAGCCTGTGAAGAGCCAGCCCGCGGCTCTCCCACGTGGGCCGCGGGCGGCGCGCGGACCCGAGCGGAAGCCGGAGGCGCCGTCCCACCAGC